CATTAAAGCACCATATGATAAACAATAAAAAAATAGTTGCTACTAAGCTATTTCAATAAAAGCTGCAAAAAAAACCTGTGAGAATTTTCAGAAGAGCAGTTTTTTGAAGAACTCATTGTTACAACGGTATATATGCAGTTAACCGTTATTAGTGAGCAATATTTAAAAAAAAAGAATGAAAAAGGTTTTACACGGGAAAAATTTGTCATGCAGAATAATTTGGCAGTGATAAAATGCTAACATGAAAGCTCAATACACATCAAATTGATAATTGCTAACACTATAGAATACATTAGTGATATGCACACATTTCACTGGTATCATCATAACGTGAAAGACTGCACTGCTCTTGGCGCTTGAGAAGAACTGCTGTAGCCCAGGATGAAATGCAGATCGAGGAGCAAACATGTAAATTAAGCTTTTTAGGTTGCTAAATTTAACTGCATGAATTCAATAACTAACCGGAGCAGAGGAGCGCCAAACTGTGAAAAAAAGAGAAAATGGGGGATCATTAAATTCGAATTTTGATTTGCTGAGAATCAGTTTTTTGCAAAAACAGCAGAGCGGGATTTTGCTCAAAAGGGCACGATATCCGGTGAAATGAGCTGAATTTTGAACAGATTGCATCTTTTTTGGGGCCTCGTTCAGCTTTCAAGAACAGCTGAACGAGCTTTCAAAAAAAAAAACTGCTCAGATACTGTCTGCCAACACAAACTGCAGCCGCAGCCAGTTGTTTACAACTTTTAGACATGCGATGGATGACTTTTCATATGAATTTTTGATTGCTGTTTACCTACCTGCCTACTCCGCATATCTGTTTAATGGATAATGCACAGAAGTTCATTTAATTGCTAGTAGCAGGGAAACATCATTCTTCCCAAAAATTTTGATCGGACTTGAAAGACTTTTTACAAAAGCACTATAGGCAAAAAAAAGTAGTCTTGGGCTCCGTAGCGAGGATGATGAAAAGCAGAACAGCATGGTTGTCTGGATCGTAGCTACGCATGATGTGAAGTGAGTAATAAAATGCTACAAATGAGAAAGAAATTTGCTTTGAGTAGTAGCGACAAGATCAGATTCGATCAATTGAATACAATGGCATATATTTCGTGCAGTTCGCCCTATTTTAAAGTTTTTTTCAGGAAGTAAGATCAAAGTAATGACCTGAAATTGCGATTGTAAGGAATTTTAGGGGGAGAACCGAAGATGAAAAAGAACCATTGAGCTGGTAAACCTTCAGATGAACAAAAATTAAGCTCTTTCAACTGGCGGTGAGCATTGATCAAAGCTACTATTAAAATTATCAAATGCATAGCACTGAGAGCTGTAGCTGATCAAAGTGTGCCTGAAAATACATTAGACCATGAGAACAGTATCATGAGAAAGACGAGATTCGCATTTTGTAGAAAATTTGGCCGTATTTTTAGTGCAGCTCACTCGATAGCCTGAAACAGTCACTACTATCAGCCGTTACAGTACCTGAGGTGCAACAACAGACGTACAAAAAACTCCTTTTCCGGTGGTCAGTCATAAAAACCGTCCATAGTTATGGTCAGTGTTGCTGATTCGATAGCATAATGGAGCTTAGAAAATCCAATTCTGACGATCTTCAGCCAGTAATCCGCTTTTTGCGAATCGCCAGCAACAAAGGCATTGCGCCAATTCAGTGCTGGATCCAGGATACCAGCAAATGGAAAATTCCCGTATTCGTTATAACTACTACTGCTGAATATCAGATGGCGGTATTCCGGTCGTTCGTCGTAAATTCCTTGCTCCGCAATAAATGCTTGCTCAACATGCTGCAGTCTGGTGTTTAA